GATTTTTTCAAACCGTTGCACCCCTAGTATTGAAGTCTCCGGCAAGAATGATTGGGCAGTTAGAGAGATTTGTGAGGTGGGAAAAGATATTTTGGAAGAAAGTGGGATCATCGGTGTTAGGTCCATACAGATTACCAATTGTAACAGGGTGGTTGTTTATGCAAATATTAATAATTATGTAGCGTCCCTCAGGGTCTGAGACAGTTGAATTATGTACAAAAGGAGTATTTCTATTTATTAGAATACAAACACCTCTCTGTTTGCTGTTATAGTGGGATGAGAATAACTGGTTGTATTGTTGTGATTTGATATTGTTGAATGTTGAATTTGTCAGGTGGGTTTCTTGCAAGAGGCAGATGTCAGCATTGAGTTTGGATAGGTGGTCTAGTACTTTGAGCTTTTTCTTCTGATTACCAAGTCCGCGAATATTCCATGAGACTATTTTAACAGTTATCATATTAGTTGCAGATTGTATTTATCATAGAGATCATGTATGTTTGGCTGTGCGTGTGTGGGTGTAGATGCGTGTGTGAGTGTGGATGCGCGAGTGAGGGGGGAACAACAAGCGTGTTGGGGAGTTGGGTGTGAGGGGGAGGGACAAATATGAGGTGAGAGGTGGGGAGTCCGAAGTGCATCTAAAACAAATCCAAGATTGAGGGAGAGAGAGGCCTTCCCCACGCCGGTGTAACGCCGAGATACACTTCCTTGAAGAGATGCACTTCCCCAGCTGTTTATGATGTAATGCAAAACTGCGCATGCGCGTCTCACGGCAACCGAAGCATACCAAGATGGCGGACCGTGAATTGCTTTAAAAGTTGAAATACGAACTAATTAAGACACGAATGTCACTTTTAATGCAATTTGAGGCGAGATGTTGATGGTTCCATTTTGTCACATGTGGGTTTTAAGAGTCAAAGTTTCGTGCAAAGTTTAGTTTAAGCAGTCAACTGCGCCTGTGAAACCACAAAGCTAATGTTTTCATAGCAGTCCGCGGCTGCTGACGTAGGCTGATGACGCGTCCTGTGGCAACTCTACAGCTTACAACTGGTCTGTCGGGTTGATAATGGAAATAATAAATTTCATTCAATACATGTATCGTACTGTATTTAATATGATTAACAATAGTGTGTTCAAACAAAATATTTAATTAGATTGATTTTTTTCCCCATTTTCCATTATCAACCCGACAGACCAGTGTAGAGTGGCCACAGGACGCGTCATCAGCCTACGTCAGCAGCCGCGGACTGCTATGAAAACATTAGCTTTGTGGTTTCACAGGCGCAGTTGACTGCTTAAACTAAACTTTGCACGAAACTTTGACTCTTAAAACCCACATGTGACAAAACGGAACCATCAACATCTCGCCTCAAATTGCATTAAAAGTGACATTCGTGTTATGAGATTTCATAACACTTTGAAGCAACTTTTGTTAAAGTTAAACTCATCATTCTATCAATGTGCAGAAGCCTGTACTTTTCCCTTGTTTTGTCTATCTGAAGGCCAAGCTACAAGCACACCGTGGAAGCTGCTGATTGGAGGTCTCCATGCCTCCGCTCTGTATAATACACTTGCATTCTCTTGTATCTTTGATCGTGTGCTTTGTTCGTGCTGTCTCTACCATCGACAATAAAACATGTCTTCTGTCTGAATTTAAGACGCGATCCCAGACTTGGCACATCCTCTTCAGGTGGTGGAAGAATGCGGCCCTTGTCTGTAACATCTACAGAACAGAAGACCTTTTTTTTTTTTACACAAAAATGTGTTTTTTTTTTAAGCCAAAACTGAAAAACCTCAAGAGAATGCATCTGGACCAGCACACTTGGACAATCTGCACAGCCCCTGATTCCACTCAGGCCTGCTGTGAGCTGCTGAGACATGGACAATACCAGCGTCCTCTTTTGCATGGACACCATTTGGAACAATTGGATTACACAATTTGGACATAATTTGGAACAATCTGGATTTCTGAATTTGGACATAATTTGGACTGAATTGGATTGCTGAATCTGGACACTGAAGCTGAAACGTGTGATTCAAAGACACGTCACAGAAGAATTCATGGCTCGACACAAATGCAGCCTGAGGAGTCAACATGGAGAAGTGGGAGAGACTGTTTTCAAAGCAATATCTGAGAACCATCGAATGATGAAGTTTGGTATTTTACTGAAGATTGTTGACAAGTTTTATGAAAGATCTGAACATGTTTTATGAGTTTTCTGAGTTTTTTGAAGTACAGAGTGAAGTACCGAGTTTATGAGTTTAAGTATTGAGTTATGATGTTATGTTGCTGTTTATCGATCCTGATGGTCACACGTGAATGTATGACCAGAGGGGGGAATATGAGATTTCATAACACTTTGAAGCAACTTTTGTTAAAGTTAAACTCATCATTCTATCAATGTGCAGAAGCCTGTACTTTTCCCTTGTTTTGTCTATCTGAAGGCCAAGCTACAAGCACACCGTGGAAGCTGCTGATTGGAGGTCTCCATGCCTCCGCTCTGTATAATACACTTGCATTCTCTTGTATCTTTGATCGTGTGCTTTGTTCGTGCTGTCTCTACCATCGACAATAAAACATGTCTTCTGTCTGAATTTAAGACGCGATCCCAGACTTGGCACATCCTCTTCAGTGTCTTAATTCGTTCGTATTTCAACTTTTAAAGCAATTCACGGTCCGCCATCTTGGTATGCTTCGGTTGCCGTGAGACGCGCATGCGCAGGTTTGCATTACATCATAAACAGCTGGGGAAGTGCATCTCTTCAAGGAAGTGTATCTCGGCGTTACACCTGAGATAAAAGAAAGAAACAACAACAAAAAGATAATACAAACAGTGATTCAATATATTATTGTTACTAATAGCAATAATACTGAAAGAAAAAAATAAATAAATATTAATGCAAATCGAGTTTGTTCAGCTTTACCTATGCATAAGAGTGAAGCGGTTGTGTCGCTCAGATGACGTCATCGTTGTGTGCCAATGTTTACTACCGAAGTTTACTCACGTGTGGCTGCCTCGTCGCCACCAGAGAGCCAGTATGTGACTTTAGAGTTGCGGTAAAGTCTTCCATCAATGTAGAGTTTATCTATGGACAGCCTTGCTCGCTTTCCCGCGGTCCTCGCTTCGGCTAGGGCTGGATGGAGAAGTTTGCGTCGCTTCATGATCTCTGGAGGGAATTGGTCGCTCAGGGCGAGCTTGGTCCCCTTGAGCTCCTTGCCTCTCCGCATGATGACAGCCTTGTGCCTGGGGTCCAGGAGTTTGGCCACGATAGGACGACATCGGGGTGCTCCTTCACGTGGCTGGCCCAGCCGGTGAGCCCGTGCCAGATCGACTGAATGTCACTTTTAATGCAATATGAGGCGAGATGTGGATGGTTCAATGTTGTTATATGTGGGTTTTAACACTCAAATGTTCATGTAAAGTTTAGTTTAAGTACTGGTTTAAGTGTTCCTGTCCACAACACTACGCAGCAGGGTGGCCAGGTTTGGTGGTTTCCCGAATACTTTTCTTCAAGAGACTTGTAGGTATTAAATAAACAGAAAGACAATAAACAGAATCATGATAGCCCAAGTTGATTACATAACGTTTTCAGCCAAAAAATCATCCTGGGTGTTTTTTTTTTGGGCATTCTCGCGGGTTTTGGGCTGGAAAATCTTGCCGGCATTTGGCAACCCATGGGAGTTGTGTGCTTCGATGTAAGTAATTAGAGGAAGACGTCATTCAAGATAACGGACAAGTGGTTTATCCAATCACATACAAGGATTTTTTTTTAGAACGCCCCGCCTTCTGAAATCCAACTGCTATGGAGGAGGCCTAGACGCATGTGTGAAGTGCAGCGAACTACATGGGTCTGGCGAGAGTCAGGCTAACACCTCTCCCCATCACTTTCTTAAAGATTTTTTTAAGAATTATATTTGCCCAAATATATCTGGTAGGTTGTTCCAAAGAGTAATGTCTCACGCTACGATACAGATCAATTTGAATTATAAATTGATATTGCTTTATAAAAAAAAGTGATTTATGAATATTAATTACATACAAAAACATTGACAATTAATTAATAGTTAATTGTGTAAATGTAATGTAAATAACAATAACTTTTACCATTTCCAGTACTTTAGTTTTTCATCCCCCATCGACATATATATGATAGAATTTGCTCATGTCAGTGCCTCTAAATGACATGGAAGTGTGCACAGGCAGGGGGAGCAGATGTCCAAATGGGCCAACTGTCACCTTTACCTCAATCTTCAGGTTTAGAAACACACCAACATATAATCGGCGTTCCTTTCCGGCACCTATTCTCCCATATTCATACCTGTATCTTTCAAACGGACACATACACGGTATACAGGAGACTCATTCTAGTCTTGTCATTTTTCTTTAGGCTTATGCTGCATGAATTTGGATGGGCACATCAAATCTAATAACACCAGGTAATACCTCCATCACACTCCAGTAATAAGCAGGCGGTGGGCTCCAGAAACACACCCAATGCACACATGAACACACACACACAGCTCTACAAAGGAGCCAGGATAAATCACTATATTTGGAATTCAGCACATTCCCAATTTGGGCTGAGGAAGGGTATTTCAAGCAACTTAGCATGCTGTCAAGTGCCAAGCCCTGCATGATGTTCAGTAATTAAACCTGGACCAAAACTCTTTCTATGCTTTTTAACACCAGCAAGTAATATTGACGCTATCAGAAGGACATGTTAATTTAATCTGATCATTGATTTGTGTTAAATACATGCTTAGACATAGTGAAACATGCATCTTATGGAAAAGATGGAAGATTATAAAGTATACAAATCACTTGATGCTTAAGGGAGTTTTTTGCACTGCTTGAGTGGAAAAGTGACTTTGACCCACGTTCTCTATTTATAGACTTAATGTCGCAGTTGCAATCAATCCAGTCAACAAATTGACTTATGCCCAAATAAATTATTCACTCAAAATATTATTGCGATTATTGGCTTTCCATAAAAGCACTTACCTGGAACATGTGCTTCACTTTCCTTCTGGGCAGATTGACGTTGAGCTTGTGGAGAAGTTGGTAAATTTCATCAATGTTCAAAAGTCCATCACCATTTTTATCTGCCTCCTCAAAAGTCTGCTTCATCCACGTACGCATCATTAAGGATAAGAGGCTGAGAATACAAAACTTGAATTCAAGTTTTACCTAATAGTTTTTTAAAACTCTAGAAGACATCATTATTTATGATTATGAATTTTAACTTCAAAGTATATTTACATTGAGTATTTGGTAAAAATAATAAAATTGCCAATATTATTGGTTGGATGTATTAGGGTTCTGTCAAAATATCAATATAGCCATTGCAATATTTTGTTCCCCGATTGATTATGGATAATTTACCTCTTTACACCCGAAAGACCCACTGTCGGATTCTATTTAAATGAATGAGAGTCAATGGGAGTCAAAATCCAATGGATAGTCTTGCAGGTTATTATGAGCTACCATGGCATTAATTTTAAATGTCATTACGATGACAATATACAATCAATATTTCACTTCCTTCTTTTTCAGTCCTGTCTCAATCCAAGCACAACTAAAGACATTTTGTTCAGAAAAACATTACCAAAAAGAACATATAGACAGATATTCATTAAAAGCAATCATTTGTTCAAAATACCCCAATAATGTAAAAAGTAAATAAACAAAAAGAGTATGTACTAAAATGTTTACATGGCTGTAGTGATGGTGATTTTTTTCCTGCGTAATTTTTTGTCTTATCTTTATCCATTGACTATAAAATGTAGCAGGCATTGACGGCTGGGATTACATAAAAAGGATATTGGTCATGTGTCCGCTGCCTTCTGGCCAGAGAGTCTTCGTCACTGATCCCAGCCATCAGGTAACGTAAGCCGGTGATCCAAGTTCGAGCCTCCTCTGAGTTGGATGTGACCAGGTCCAGAGACTCCATATGGTTTCCATGATAGATGGTGAAGCAGCAAGCAGGGTCTAGACTGCCCTCCGCCTGTCGGTGAAAGATGTCCGACTGAACTCCCTCTGTCACTTTGTACAGCGAATCGATGGTGACTAAAACAAACAAACAAAAATGAGTGGTTTAAGGATTGAAGCATGGCAGCAATACAGCATGATTCTGTTCAATTGGGAATGAGAGAATGGAACCGAGCCTTGAGGAGGGCGTTTGCGTTCTACGAGTGTTTTCCTAGTTATTATACATATCAATTTACTTTTGCTGAACACATTTGAATACATTTTCAGTTAACTGGTGTCCGTTTATGATAATGTTGCTTAATATTTTACTGCTAGAAGTAGTAATTGGATTTGTTCTTTCAAACCTGATTACACAAATAACATTTTTGTCTACACACTTTCTTTAAGCAGATAAAAGACTCATCACCCACCCTCAGAATCATACCAGCAAAGTCCAGGGAAATTAAGTGTTGAGTCTCTCAAAGTCTAGATTGCTTTCTGTCTATGTAAAAAAATGTATACATGCGCGTGCGGTCAAATAATTCGGAACTTAGTATCTATAAAATCCTGTGTTATTGGTAAAAATCATGGAGGGTAAAGGTGCATTTCAAATGTGAGGCAAGTGTGTGCGTGTTGTTGCGGCAACATGATCCGGACGTTTACGACCGTTTGTGCGGAGATGTTAGTAGCTTTGTTTCTTCCGTACAAGGGTACAAAGGACATTGCAGCCCTTGTGATTTGACATGGAGACAAGATGCAATTTTGATTCAATTGTGCAGAACCGATTACTTTCCCAAACCCATTCATCTTAATTTTATGTCTAAAAAACATGTCAAAGCTTTTGGTCTGTCTCTGATGGAAAATGAAAATAGACTTAGATTTAGTGGAGCTTTTCGTCATGGTCTAAACTTAAGGGATTGGAGTAATGTCAGCTAATGCGTTTTATACATAATACGGAATGCACCTCCTCTTTGTTCTTCTTGTTTACAAAGCTCCTGCCAGAAAATGTGGCTTCTTTCTCAACAAACTGACATTCGTATAACGTGGGATACTGTAGCACACACATTGTGATATATATTTTTTTAAATGTTGTTTTTGTGCGTTGCAGATATAGTTGGTACGAAGATATTTCCAAACATATCATCAAATAATACATCTGCTTTGGATCTATGTGTGTAACCAAACTCTATGTGATAACCAGCACGAATACAGCATTAGGAGATCCCACTAGAATGTTTGAAGATGTCATGGGGAAAATAAACCAGTTAGTTAATAAGAATGTAATTATCCTAAGGTCTCCATAAAACATACAAGAATGTTGGAGTGTTTCCTAATCATTTTGTTTATACCCTCTATGCTGGTCTTTGCAACACTGAAATTAATGAAGCTTCTCTCGCGTTATTCACTGTCAGAATTAAGGGTAATAATATACGTTGCTTAAATGTATTCTTGATTTATTTCTGCATTAAAAATTACACTCTACCGTTTGAATTGTGTTCTGTTTTTTTTTTTTTTAACCATCTATTATTTTTATATGACCCCCTTCTGTGTTAGTATTTCCAGCCGCATTTTCATAATCTCAGTCTGTCTGAACTCAAAGTCACGGGAGCCGCCTGTAAAAACAAACAAGCAAATGCGCATCTGTTGAATATTTCTCTTAATCGTGTCATAGGAGAGGATCAAAGAGGCTTACACTCCCCACATTCAGGGTTTAACCATTCGGCCTGACATGAGAGGTGGGCTGACGCATAAGACCACTTGACTCAAGGGTGGAAAGGGGTTAACAGTTAAATAAATAATCTCAACAAATAGTAGCCGACCCTTTAACACACTGCATAATCAGAAATGTTTCACATTTTCCAAAAAATGGGTTTCAAGTTTGTCATTTTAGTATGACAAAAATGTGTTTACCGTTTCGTAGTTCAATATAAAAACCTGAAACTGAACTATTTATGTGATGCTTTTTTATAATGGGGCTTCCATTTATTCAGGTTGTTTATATTTTTCACATTCAGATTCGCATATATACAGATCTAGGCTTATTTTGGTAGGGCCCCCATAGAAAAATCCATTGAAGACTGTATACCAGTAGCCTGACCAGCCCGACCCTGCATACTCACATTCTGAGGATGTACAGTCTGGTAGGTCAAGGGGAGTGCAAATGACAAAGTCCATGAAAGAACATATTTCAAATTTTCGTTGTCACAATATCTGCAGACATTGCCCTATGGTCGAAAAAGCCAATTACTGTATTTTTCTGCATGTTAGCCTAAATTTACTAAAGATTGTTTAGCAGTTCCAAATGAAAATACATGAACAAAAGGCATTGTAAACAGATAAGATACTGCAGGCAAATGCTAATAAACACAAAGCGTACTCACTTTTTGCCTTTTCACTCTTGCGTGAGGGCTTCCAGCGGATGCAGGAACGGTGGTCGTCCAGGTAGAAGAGTCTGACCAGCCCCTTGGAGCCGGCCTTCAGCTTCACCATCTGTGTCCCGGACTGCATCACGCTCATGCATCGCTCCACTGCAGAGACAAACCGGGTTCAGAGAGACACATACAGACAAAGGTGACAGGTGCTGCCCTCAGACGGATCAGGAAGTACGGAAGAGGGATGGTGCGGAGCCATGAACCATCGCCACAGCTGAGGAGACTGTGGGTCCAGGCTCCGACAGAGAACCCACTGTGAGGTCACACAGGACGGTCTGTGCAGAGTCTCAGTCGGGATAAGGGACACAGCAAACTCCCCTTTGCCATTTTCTTCTAGTCACCTAGCTGCATACAGAGCTGGGATTGGGCTCTTATAACTGCACTAATGTCACAGTGAGCAAACAAGATAATCAGCTGTTTGACAAGATCAGCAAAGCATAGTGACAGTAATATTGGCAAAACAAATTCAATCTGTGGTTTGGTCAGACACATTTCAGTCTCATTTTGTCAGAATTGGCTTCTGTAAACATTGAACTGCCAAATCCAACCCACAACTGGATTCATTAAGAACCACCCCTCTCTGGGCTCTGGCACAAAATACCCAAAACTCAGATGGCATTTGCAAGGGTTCCAACTCCATATTCGCAACCACCCTTTTTAAAAAGCAATCAAAAGCATATTTTTGTGTGGTAAATATTATGTTTTTATTTTGAGGTGTATTTATGTTTTTTTCTAGAATTCTCCAAAACCAATGAAACGTATCCTAGCAGCTGGTGCAAACTTGGATGACAGCAAAGGGCCATAAGGATCACTACCTCATTAGCAGTGCAAGTCTGTTATGTATGAATGCTCCTAATAACACAGGAGGTTTGGTTCATAGCATTTTACACAATAAAATAAAATGTCTTACATAATCACATCAGAGAGACGTAAGCTTTACTCCCTCCTAAAATAAACTTCACCAGATATTAAGGCAATGATGTTCGGCCCATTCTCAGAACCCTGCTCTGACGTCCAGAAGATTCAATTTATTAAAGCAGATTACCATCTGTTCAAAAGTCCACTGGAGCTTCTTTTTGTAAAAGCAAAAATAAGGATGAAAACCCACTTTAAATGACTTCAGAGAGCCATATCTGTTCAGTGTTGAACAGCGACTTGTTTGTGCATAATATTCTAAATGGAGAAAATGTTATATAATGACCGCTTTGCTCTCCAGTGACGAGTGAGATTTGGTTCAAATTGTTGAAGAAAATGGCCTTAATGTCCTTGTATCAGGATAATGACCTTATATGACAACTGTTTTGATCATTTTGGCCTCCACAATGTGTCTCAAACTTATCTCAAATACATATAATCTAATAATCTCAGACACATGTGTTCCAATCAACTAATAAAATATAATCTAATTAAGTGTTAATAATAATAATGATGTGCACATGCAAAGTGCTTGTTGACGTCTTTGGAAGAACTACACAAAAGTCACTTCATTCACTCCGCACTAGGTGACAGAACCGAGGCTCCAGTCTGTGCTATACCGTATGCTCTTATTTGGTGGGGGAAACCGGAGCGCTTGGAGAAAACCCACCCCAAATAACAGGGAGAAAAAAAGCCCTAGGTCAGCACTGGATCAAACCAACAACTGCCTCCACCAAAACTCATATTACTCGCTTTGAGAGTTCCTCTTGTACTGTGCGATGCAACAATGAAATGTTTGATACAAGTCCTATTGTTGTTATCATCTATCATCTTAAACCTGATTTTTTTCACCTCTGCTCATGAACTACTCAATGAGAGGTCACTTCAGGAGTCAAGTCAAATATATATGTAACTTTTTAAAGGTACACTGTGTAATTTCTAGTGCCTCTAGCGTTGAGATCTTATATCGCAGTCTCATATATTGAGATATGAGTACGGGTGCCTGTAGAGTTAAGGAGACTTTTGCCTATTCTGTTTGACAGTGCTCCTCAACTCTCAGTCTTTCACCAAGGAAAGAATACTTTAGTTTGATAAATGACCGAATCTCTCCAAATGTCTCGGGCACTTGACAGATGCGTGGAGCCAACTTGTAAACAAGACCGCGTTCAGACAGCAGCACCCTACACAGAGGCTCTACTGAGTTTTACCATGGATTTATTATAATATATAGTTTTAAAAACACGGTGTGAGGAGATAACGTCTGTGGGAGCTTAAAACTACGGTGATCAAAGAAGCAGGAGATATACACAGCCGCGGAGGACATGGCAAAGCTCATGTTAGCATTAGCGTTAGCCATAGCGCCGCATCTGCATTCAAAAACAGAACATTCACTCAAGCTGCTGATAAAGTATTCTGTGATTATTTTGTGGGGATTCTGTGTGTGTTATTTGAGGCATGTCCCTGAATAAGTTTAGTTGAAACTTATGGCATAGTAATTGGACTGCGCTCGGATCGGGTCAGAACATCCTGAGACTGTTGCAGATTCTGCCTCGTTCTCATTATTGTCAGTGTGAAAAAAGTTACGTATTGTTCACGTGTGAGTCTGTTGTGTACAAACTACACAATGTAATAATAATAATAATAATACATTTTATTTATAATGCACTTTACATTTGACACCAAATCTCAAAGTGCTACAAACAGCAGCATAAATAAAAGCAAACACATAAAATCAGATAAAAGACTATAAAGAAAATTAGCAGTACGCTTTAGTAAAAAGATGGGTTTTGAGTCCCTTTTTAAAAGCTTCCACCGTCTGTGGGGCCCTGAGGTGGTCCGGGAGGGCGTTCCACAGACGGGGAGCAGCGGCCTCGAAGGCCCGGTCCCCCATTTTCTTGAGCCGTGTCCTGGGCGGGAGCAGACGGTGCTGTTGGCCTGACCGGGTTCTGCATGAGGAGTGTGGAGGGAGGAGGTCAGTGAGGTAGGTGGGGGCATCACCGTGGAGACAGTGGTGGGTGTGCAGGAGGATCTTGTATTCTATATGGAGGTGAACGGGGAGCCAATGGAGGGTGTGAAGGATGGGGGTGATGTGCTTCTGCTTCCGCACCCTCATCAGGACCCTGGCCGCGCTGTTTTGTACGTACTGGAGCTTTTGAAGGCTCCTGCCAGGGATCCCGATGAGGAGTGCGTTGCAGTAATCCAGCCTGGAGGAGACAAAGGCATGGACGAGCTTCTCTGCAGCCGGGAGAGAGAGAGAAGAGCGGAGTTTTGAAATATTACCGAGGTGGAAGAAGGAAGTTTTGCAGATGTGATGTATGTGATTTCCGAAGGAAATGTGCCTCCTGTTGTGTTACCACTGTCTTTCGGTGCGTGTGGTTTGCGATGTTGACACTTTGCTGCTATGACGCTGGACTTCTGCATAATTATTTTTCTAAAACATTGTTGTTCGGATCTTTCTTTTACATAACTGTGGTCCTCCATGGTTCTTTTACATAACTGTGGTCCTTCATGGTTCCTTCTTCCAACTGGTGAAAGCAACGATATCAGTGGCCCATGTGAAACGAAAACGCAATTCTCACATCCTTTTTGTCCTTATCCACCACCGGTTTTCAAGATGGTGCATTTACACGGATAGTCCTCCTCTCTCATGGAAACTTATAAGTTAAATTCTAAGCCTATGAATACAATTAAAAAAACATGGTGGAGGTAAATGTTCTTAAAAAGGTCACATTTGTTATTAGTTAGTTTCTTATTGTAGAGCAACGTCTTTGACATGGCAATCATTGTGAGACCCTACTGATGAGGTGTTGTTAATTGATAAACACAACATATAGACACTAGATCTCATACATGTTTTGCATCAGTTTGTATTATGTCTTTCATGTACAAGTAGAGAGAGAAGAGATGTTCCTGCCCACTGTCAAATCCTGATTGACAGAAGTATTGATGAACTTAACCGCAGCTCCAGATTGATTGTAGATGGAGGCAATATTTAATTCTTCAGCCACCATTTATGAAAAACCCCAAAATGTTACATAAAATCAAGTTATTCAAGAAAAAAAAAAAAAGAAAAGTAGAAGTAATGTTGCAGCAGTTGGCAATGCATGTTGTTTGAACTTTAGGCTAATTGGCTTTGCAAAAGTGTGTATATCTAAGCCAATGTCTCTACTGTACCTCCATGTAAATAAACCATGGATGGAACTTAATGTTAATGAGGTATTACATGTAATTAGGGAACGTTAACTCTAATCTAGCATTGACAGATTCAACCATGCATGATGCACTTTTGAATTTCTCTCTGTGATCTAAAGTCTGGGAGTCGGTTTCTTAAAGCGAAGCCTGATCGTCCATTCTTATTAGACTGTCTGTGTCAATAAGCTCATCATCTTTAGAGGACACATCAAAGCTATGCCCGACACAGCAGCTCTTGCAATTCAAAGATATTATAATAAGGTTTAGTGACAGGGCTGATTCTCTGATGCTGTTGTGAACAAAGCTTTTCTCACTTAAAGCGGCACAATACCGACCGGGTCACGGCGACAAAAACACACCTGGACTTAGTTACTTTCCCATTGATCATTTCAATTCAATCTGCCACTCTGCTTTAACTCAAACACTGCATTTCTCCTGTGGCAGCTTCATTTCTATTATAATGAGTTTAAATGAATGTCACCCTTGACCAGTTTTGAGATGTCTGTTAAGGATGATGAGTGCATGCATTCTAATGTATTCATAGCTACATACATTCATATGCAGCAGCATCTGCCTGCTGCATCATGCACTATTCATGTGACATAAGGCAACCCCAGCTCAGCGCCCACTTCCAGTTAGGAACTACATTTCTACAAAATAAAAACCCATGTGTTGAACCCGGTCAATGTCACGCGTTGCCTTTCTGTTGTTAACATTTATCACTTCTGCTCAACTGGCCAAACGAATCACATTCATCCACACTAACCTTTTGTGGGTAATTCTAGCATCTTAAATTAGCATGAAAAATACAACCTGCCAATGCATGTAATTAATGTAATGGCTTATTAAAACACGTTTTAATTCTTGATGTTTTCAAATGGATGTGAAAGTGTAGCTCAGTAATAAACACAAAGACGGTAGTGGGAGCTCATTATCATAAATATTGGGCTGATGATTTTATATGAAAATAATAATACGTCAATGTTAAT